AAGTTCAGCAGCCTACTTTTTAACTGTTGAAATCGAGAGGTAACCTTTTCTTAACTTGGGAAAAACTTCCTTAGGGGTTAATCCATCCACCACGAAAAATTTAATGACAGCAAGATATTCAAGTCCAACTATCTTAACGAAAACCACTCAACACGTACGCTACAGCGACCAGAACAGCCTAAACGACATGTGATTGAACTCAACTGTTCGACTTCCTTTGAGACTGTCGTTGATGTGACGGAGAAGTCACCTTGCCGGGATAGGGAGAAAGTAACCTCGGATTTGTAGTGAACTACCCAAAAGACTTGCTGTAATAAATATCTTTTTAATGTCGTAGAAATTCTATCACCAAATTCCGTTCATCTCGATTGGACGGAGAAGTTGATCTGGCATGAACACATCTCGTCAGTCGCGGTAGCTGCTGGGAATAAGTTGGGATATTTGTTTAGAGCTAAGAGGTACCATGACCTACTTAATCTGTACAAGGCAGATAAGACCGATCCTCGAGTACTGCTCACATGTTTGTGGTACTGCCGCACCAACTACATTATCCATACTCGATGTTATTCATAGGAGGGTTGTCTGAATGGCCGATAACTCTTCTCTAACGGACGGTCTCGGGACTCTTTCGCACCGAGGGGCCGTCTTTTTTACCGCTATGTCAACGAACGTTCCTACTCAGAGCTCTCCTCCATGATACCGGCGCCCAATTAAATTGCCAGGCAGACCCGGGTCTTTGGCCTCCCATTCTAACCATGTCGAATTTCGTACATCCAGAATTGGCGGATACAACAACCCATTTATCGGATTGTGAGCCAATTTGCCTGAGGAAGCTTTTGCACTTCTACGGACCTCAGGCAGCACAAAAAAAGGAAGCAAAGTGTCTGAAAGGCCCTTATAGCAGCTGCGGTGCTCCGGTATTCAGGCGGTGTTGTGGACCTATGTGTGGCATGGTTGACACCTACGCTAGTATTTACCAAATATAGTTTACGGTAATCCAGAGCCAATGAGGCCAGAACCCCAGACCTCTTTATTCACTTTTTTATGTTCATTGGTGTTGCTAATTTTCCTGGACATTACCTGCGCTGTTTACGCCTCAAAATCACTTTCACTTTCCATCAGCCGATATTACCAAAGGAATTTGCGGGATGAATACGGAAATGAGGAAAGCGACTGGTGGCCTGGAAAACTTACTCATGCTACGTGCCGCCACTTTTCCATGTTGACGGAAATTTGCTTTCATGTTGGACACATTCAGGGTTGAACCATTGAAATCGACAATGCTCGTGATTCAAACTGTTTCTAATATAATGCAAAGTAATGTCCCCCAGGAAGTACCTTCGTACCTTTTTGATGAATTTGCATGTTGCCATGCTCATAAGAAGCTTTTTATAGTTTATTTTACGGTTGTTCTCAAAAAAAGGTTCTTAAGAATGTTTTCCTAAAGTTGACAGTTTCCAAGATATAAGCGATATAGGTAGCATTTGAAGAAGTATGAAATATGTCATGTTTGACCCCGAAAAACAATATGAAAAGACGAAAACTTCAATGTTTCCAAAGTTATTGCATATTTTTCAAACTTCCATCAATAAACTCACAAGCATTTCAGGGGATATTGTTATTGCCGACCTTTTTTCTTTATTTGTCAATTAAGCGTGCCCTCAATGTATCTGCGGGAGCGCCCGAGAGATGTGGCGAAGGGGCAGCCATCTTCTGCAAGAAAAATAACATTACAAAACTTTCTTGCCAATAGGGAATATGCACAGTCTAAATTGTATACATGAGCTCTATAAAATTACTAGTATTAATTAATAGAAATTGGAAAAAAATACGCGGTAAATATAAAATATCAAAATGTGATACTATTGGCGTGACGTCACCATTTGCGACTTGTGTATAAAATAGCAGGCGTTGTTCCAGTTCCAGTTTGTTGTTCCAGCTTTTCATCGTAACCTGTAGTAAGAAACATAAACAGTAAATCTCTTTGCAATCTTACAAACAGATGGTATGTCAAAAACTCGACAGTAACCTAACCAAACACTGAATAGGTTAAATCTTGATTTTGGATAGTGAGAGTAAATCTGTGATGCTTGTTGTTCTGTATAAGTTGAGGTTAGAATTTTTCTTCATTAATGTTAAGGGTGCGAAAATTTAGGGCTAGTTCGTTTTCAGAAGATGAAAAAAGGTGCTTATTCTGGCCGAGAGCAAAAATGTTTATGGTTTTTTAAGCGGCCCTTAATGGCGGCACGAGAATGAATTACGGCAGGTGTGCGAGAGTGGAGAGTGTAATATTTCTCCTTAAGGCCGTAGCGGTGCTGGTTTCACCTTTCATCCCCTTGAAAAATGCATATTTCTATTAAAAGTCAGCCGCTAACGCTTCGCACGCCGCCAGTTGGAGAATTCATTAAAATCTGCAAGAATATGTATATGGAGAAGGTAGAGGTTGAAGGGCTCGCTTGTCTCTTTGTCCCGCGGTTCGTTAGAATATTTGTTCAGATCTTGCACAGAATTTTTAGCAATCAAAAGAGGCATGTACCCAATTCTATAGATACAGATAGTATCAAAAGTGCATGGAATTGTGGATTGCTCGGACTAACTGATCACTCAGCAAAGGTACAATTGATTCGTTTACATCACGTGAGCTAGAATCTTGACATTAAGTGTTTTGTATTTGAAATATCCAGTACAAACTACCCATTGAAATGCTTTGAAAAAAGTAGTTCCTTCGCAACGCCATGTTCAATTCATAAAAAATTAAGTTCAGCGCAAGTTAAATGCTCTGAACAAAAATTATTTAAGAACTTGTACAACAGAAAAATCAAACCAATCAAATCGTTCAAACAGTCGCATAAAATTAGTCCATAGACTAATACGCTACCGGTAGTTACCATCCATAGAGCAACGCTGTCCCTTTCCATATCTTCAGACGCGGCAGCGCCCAACGAAGTACCGCCACAGTATGTGCTTAACAATCAAGCAGATCGTTACGCGGAGCGCTGAGCCCGAACAGCACGCATAATGAAAAAATGTCCCCATCTTTTTTTTAAAGACAAATGTACGACCTATGATGTGTGAAATATAGCCAGCAGATGCGTAGAATTGTCGGGGCTGGGAGAGTTTAAATATACTGATATGAAAAAATTGAGATATACCCTCCCCCACTCCTATCACCCCCCACGCCACATTTTTTTACCTCTGGAACTATCACCCCCACGCCACATTTTCTTACCCCTGAAAATTTTGTCAAAATTATCAGGATCCTCTAAAACGTCAAAAAACTGTTTTTCCGTTTTTTTTGTTCTTGGCCTTTTGCTCCGTCGCCACTGGATCGAGATTTTCACAAACTACATCGTTCTTAGCATAGCAGTAATCTTGCGTAAAAATTTCATTCCAATCCGAGCACTGCTTTCCAAGTTATATACAGGCCAATAATTGGAAGATAGACAGCCCGACAGACAGACAGGTAGGAAGACAGACCGACGGATATACGAGTAAGTGACATGATTTTTTGTAATGTCCATGCCATATAACATCCGAAACAGATATAACAGTTTCAAAGGTTTTTGCGATTGCAGTACTGCTCGTACAGTGGCTTAGGAAGTAAAAACTAAGAGAACGAAGCCGGATGACGAAATATATGATGATCTTTTTTGACAAGGGAAAGCTTTTATAGCTACTCTCAGGCATTGGATGTCCAGGTTGTCACTCCATCTTTTTCTTAGCCCTCATAGGCTCTTTCGGGTGTTTTATGATCTGTCTCTTGCTATTCTTACTAGTCTGTTCTCTCCCCTCCTACCTATATGGGTGTACCATTATTGTTTCTGTCTTATACCCAGTCGTCTATGCAATCTATGTGGTACTACCTAATAGTACATAATCAGAAAAACAACTCTTCGGCTGAGACCTGTTCGTAAAGCAGCATGAAAAGGTGTCGAACAAAAGATGAGAAAAAAATATTCGATCGCTGCGAGGCGGTGTTAACGTTGAAGCAAGATAAAGCATCGTGATTTGATTCAAAGGCGGCGAACGGAGCTGTAAAGCTTTCAGCAATGCCGGGACACGCGTCGAATCGCAGCCTCGGCTTCAGAGCAACGAGAATGAGAGCGAATGAGCTTTTATTCCGGAGGTATTATCGGCCATGCCTAATTAATGACGAACAACCAGGGGTGGAGCAGGCTGAAGAATACATACAGCTCGATGTCTGATCGTTCTGATGGTATGGGTAGATGGTAGAGCCTCTTTGTGCTTCTTTATCATGCTCATTCTGTGCTGAAAGGCTTACAATCACAATTTATTAGATATCCAAAATATTGGTCCCTAGTATCCTCTACCTGTAGTAATTTAAAGCCCCTCAGCAACGCAGAACATGCTCCGATAACTTCTACCGGTTCTATCAATATTTAGATATAGGCAAAAACATCCACCATTACCACTCGGCCCTAGAGTAAGATCCGTTGCCTGCCGAGGATGTTCAGAGATGCTACTCGATTTCAAAGAATGCTGTGTCCATATCCAGTCCTCCGCCATTCTCCTAATTCCGTGCTCGCACATACCCTAGACTAACTCATGATCAAGCAGGCTGTCCTCTATACTCACTTTCGCGAAGGCATCTTCCATATCACTGCGAAATTCTCAAAATGTCGCAATAGCCAAATAACCACCTACCTGTCCTGCCGCTGGAAGCCTCTCTACATTGTAAAAAAGAACCAAAGTAGCTTTGTACTCGTAGGCATTTAAAGCCTTGACTACCAAGTGCCCGAACCAAAAAAGAGTACGTTCGAAACTGCAGGCATGCGCAGATCGCGCGCTAGCTCTATCTCTCTTACTCCCGTACAGCGGATCTCTAGCAGAATTCATCATTCCTGGCGAGAAAACTGTTATCATGATTGTATTGTCATCGGAGCTTCTGGAAATCGGTGAAAATTATGCTCAAAAATTCCATTACATACATGCAGGCCAAGCTAATAAAAAAGCGTGTTAAAAAAAGGTATACCACAATCTGCCTCCTATGAGCATTGAACTGCCGACCCCGGGTTTACAAGACCAACGCTCTGCCACTGAGTTACAGAGGCTTGTAGTTTCGCTATTCGTAAGGCGGCATTTGAAATCCGTGGCCTTTTATTAACATACCTGCTTTTTACAGAATTTCATGAATAAATTTAATGGAAGACTGTTATAAAATTATTGCATTGTCATCGATCCTTGATACGTGTGCGAAGTTTCGGATTAATCAAACTTCTGGAAATAGGTGAAAATTATGCTCAAAGATTCCGTTACATACCTACAGGCCAAGCTAATATAAGCGTGTTGAAAACATGCATATTACACGTGACAAAAAAGCAGTCATAACACCACTTGCAAATGTTAATAATGCCATCGATTTTAAGGACCTCAGACCAATAAGTGCTTTACCTTCAATGTCCAAACTGTTAGAGAAAATTGTACATGATGAACTTCGTGAGCATCTATAAATCAACAAAGTGTTGCCTGACACCCAGTCTGGGTATACGAAATTACATAATACATCTACAGCGCTCATTAAAATTTCCAGTGATATAGTGAAATTTATAAACGATGGCACAATAACGCTACTAGTCATGCTAGACTTCAGCAAGGCATTTGAGATGGTAAATCACAGAGTTTATGTAAAAAACTGCACCATTATGGTTTGACCGGAAATGCCATGCTGTGGTTTAGTAATTACTTGTTTGATAGATCCCAATGTGTAAAATTGCGTGTTAAAGTGTCTACTTTACGAGTTTTGAAGTCTGGTGTTCCACAAGGCAGCGTTTTAGGCCCTATTTTATTTACTTTTTATACCTCGGATCTGATAAAACATATATCATCTGAGTGGAATGTACATTTGTATGCGGATGATGTACAAGTTTACAAACCATGTCAACCGACCGATGTAAATTCTTTAATATTAGAACTTAATAAAAATTTAGACATATACAAGTGACATATAAATCCGAACACCCAGTTTAAATGGTTTTATTTTAATAAAATTTTGTATAAGTACTTAATGAAGCATAATAAGTAAATGATAAAAATTTCAAAATGATTGCACTGCTTTAAAGCCCTTTGACCTTTAATAATGTGTGGATGCACCCTGATGTGCTACGCATTCTCCAACGCGCCTAGGCATGCTTCTGATCAGGTGGTCAATGTCCTCCTGTGGTATCTCATTCCAGGCAACCACCAACTCCTCTCGAAGTGCTTCTAGAGTCTGAGGAGGACGTTGCAAATTGAGCAATCTCCTACCCATCATATCCCACACGTGCTCAATTGGGGATAAGTCGGGAGATCTTGGTGGCCAAGGTAACAATGTGGCATCATTATGTTGAAAGAAGTCTATTGTGACTCTTGCAACATGTGGTCGGGCATTATCTTGTTGGAAAGTTGGATCTGCCAGGGTGTCAAGATAGGGTAAAATATGGGGTTCTAGAACTTCGTGGATATAACGCTGCGCGTTCATGTTACCTCTGATGAAGATTAAAGGTGACCTGGAACCATAAGCTATAGCACCCCAAACCATAACTACAACAGTGTGATGAACATGTCTTTCAACAAAAAACTGTGGATTCCTCCTTTCACCACGTCGCCTTCTAACCCTGGCACGACCATCGTGCATGCCTAAACAAAATCGAGACTCGTCACTAAAGACAATACTGTTCCTTTCCTGATCCCAGAGTGACCGTTGTCTGCACCACTCAAGGCGATTACGTCGGTGTTCTCGAGTTAAAGGGAGGACCCAGTGTGGCCGGTATCACAACAAGCCAAAACTTCTCATTCGTCGGTAAACACTTCGCATGCCAATAGGTCTTCCGTGTTCTGCAAACCATTCATTTGCACTGGACCTGGTAGTGGAGAAACGGTCCCTTAAGGCCAATAACCTTAGGCGGCGATCTTCACGGTCCGTTGTTCTACGGCGGCGTCCAGTGCCCCTTGCTCTTTGCGTGCGGCCTTCTCGAAGCCATGCCTGACAACACCTAACCACAGTGTCTACACTTCTCTGCACTCTAACTGCAATTGCCCGAAAAGAAAGTCCAGCTTCCCGAAGTCCCACTATACGGCCCCTATCAAACTCACTAAGTACAGGTCTCCGTACTCTAGGCATCGTAACCGATCGTACAGGATGTCAAGAACCAAAATCCGCCAACGTTGATTCTTTACTGCGGCTGAAATGTTCATTTTTAGAGCGTTAGTGAATTAAAAAAAAGCAGTATAAAAACTGGAATGTCCAACTGATAACGCTGAAAATTTTTTCACTTGTTATTTACATTCACCAACTTTTATTAAAATAAAACCATTTAAACTGGGTGTTCGGATTTATATGTCACTTAGTAATTATAATTATTATATATATAATATATAATTATATAATTATAATCATATTTGAACAGTACTCAAAAAATCATTGTTTGAAGCTTCATCCCTTGAAAACCAAAGTATGTTGTGTTGGTTCTAGACTAGCGATTCTGAAGTGTAAACAACATAAATACGAACATATTTTTAGAAGGAATTAACATTGAATGTGTTGAAGAAACAAAAAATTTGGGAATAGTACTTGATGAGAATTTAAGTATTGAAAGACACATTATAAATAAGCTCAGAATATGTTATTATAAATACAAATCGCTATGGAGATATAAGTATATATTAACAAGTGATATCAAACTAAAACTTGTTAATGCATTAATCCTCACACATTTAGATTATTGTAGTACTGTATATTACTCTTTTATCACTGAGGAAATGCAACAGAAAATTCATGTTTTACAAAACCATTGTATGAGGTTTTGTTTCAATGAGATAAACAGACGCGAACACATTACTGGGTATTATGTAAGGGAAAATCTTTTAAAGTTCAAATATCGCTCGTTACTTCGCTATGCTGTTCTACTATTTAGGGTTTTAAAATATAAATCTCCGAAATATCTTTTTGACACATTAGAGAAAAGATCTTCACTCCATCAACTGTCCCTCCGTAATGAATATTGTTATAATATACCAGCCCACACTACCTCAAAATTTAAAAAATGTTTCTATTACATAGCTCCCAGTATACTAAATAATTACCCAATTTTCTTTAAATTAACGTCCATTCACAGCTTTAAAAGAGAATTCAAAAGAATGCTATTACAGTTACAATTTAATGAATCTACAAGTGGCTGAATAAATCTCATTATTAATCTTATTATATTTTAAAGTTTTGTTAGCATTATTATAGTCGACTACATAACCTTTATTTAATGTATATGATATACCCTAGTAAGATATAGTAAGGCACTTAATGAATTTACCTTACCTATTCAGGCGGGGGTGAAAAATGGCTATGCCAATCCCCAGCCCTTTGGAGTATTATTTTTTTTGTGTTATATTATTTGCTCGTATTTTGAATCTATTATGTATTAATACTCCAATAAACATTATGATTATTATTATTATTATTAAGTATAGCATTGTCAGTAAGAAACCGCGTATCAAATGATACCGTTAATACTCTTGTATTTCTAAAACCCTATTTAATAAGGAAAAAATAGCATCAGATAGGTTGACTCCAACCGGCACGTCCTACGCAACAGTGTCATCAGTTACCCATCTAAAAAAGTGAATTTCGAACAAAGGAATTAAATGAAGCAAATCATTCAAACAGGCGCACAAAATTATTCCCTAGTTCTCATTTGGCAATATTGCGATATCACAGTTGCAATTACTAAACATCAGCAACAGCCAGGACGCGACGGGTTCGTTTTCGATCTTCGCTACACTTTCTTGGTGGATCCCACCTAAACGAGTCGGCTTGGGGCAAGCACTGGAAAGATGTCTTGAGGACAAATATGCAGGAAGTCTATGTGTAGAATATGATTAATAGGTATAGAACAGATAAGTAGAATTACTGGGGATACACGCGTATAAATATACTAACGCCAAACAAGATACACCCTTCCTTGATCCCTGCGACAATAAATCTACGCTCACTTTTCTACCATTCAAAAAAGTGTCCAAAATTGATCAGCTGTCTCTGAAACGTTTAAATACAAAGTTTTTTTACTTTTTCCGCCCTTCGCCCTTAGCTCCGGCGCTACTTTATAATATATTGCCCATATTTACTCAATAACTGGACTTAAGCAGAATTTGGATCACGTACTAGTTTGCTTTTTTAAACTATGCATTGTCAAATATTCGAATGGCAGTCCCTCTCTAAAAACAATAATTGAGTTCTTCACCTGTTCCTAGACTTTGAGTGTGGATTACATGTATTCTCTGTGAATGTGAATATACCTGTATTTATATTTATAGCGTTTCTTTGTGACTTCTTCCTACGGGATTTCTTAAATCGGATCTATTTAAATATGAATTTCTCGACAAATGCTTAAGGCCCGTATCGTCAGTCGTCCCTACAATTGTAGGGCGCCTTTATGGCCTCCTTGATTGTCATAGTTTTCTACTTCTCCGTGTCAGCGCTCTATTTTGAGGTTATGTCACAAACATCTATTTGCATCAAATTGTGCTTGCTTTTGAGTTATATCATGTTTTATCAGCCTGAAATTTCCTACAATTTAAAAAGAAAACATATCTTAACAATAGGATAGCGCTGACGCTGACACGGGACAAGTGTAATCTAGAAATTTTTGAAGGAGAGAAAGGAGTATGACAATCAAGGAGTCCATAAACGCGCCCTACAATTATTGTAGGGACGACTGGCGATACGGACCTAAGCTGCTAAAAATTAATGCATGCATACCAAAATATTAGTTTAATAAAATGTCTTATCATAGTTTCCACATAGTTTCACGTCATATAGTGTGAAATCAACATACTTGACACCACTTTTTGGGCTAACATGATCAGACTATTTTTTCTCACTCGCTAGAGTAATGGCTATGTTCTTCCGTCCTAATTACCACTTCTGAAAACTTCACTAAATTGCGAGTAGCACTTTCCAAGTAATAGGCGGATCAAGAATTCAGACCGGAACACAGACCGACGAAAAATGAGTAACACGGTTTTTCCTAATGTACATGTAAAACAACATCCAAAAACGTAATATTTCATTTTAAAAATT